ATAAATAAATAAATAAATAAATAAATTTAGCATTTTTATAAGCTGGAGCAAAATTTTGGTTCTTTGTGATGAGAAATTACGCTGAACAATAAATATTAAACCTTTATTTTAACAGGTAAGTCAGCTAAGATCACCTAAAACAAATTATTCCTAAAGAGAACCATGAAATGACATGCGACTTGGCAAGAGGAACTGGTCATCTGGATTAATAAGTAATATTTGTTACAGACTTACTCTGTGACAGAAGAAAATACATAAGCAGATGGTCAGCTTATCTCTATTAGGATTAGTTGGGAGAATAAGCCAGAGGTTTAAAGACAGAAACTTACTTTGACCTGTCATCTGAGCCTCGGTACGAGTCATAGTAACGCTCATCTCGGCTGTGGAGATGGGGGGAATAAAAGAAAGAAAGAAAAAAAGACAAACATAACCAGACATACAACAATGAGCACATATATTTAAATGAAGTGATAAACATGAATACCAGTTTTTATACTAGCTTATAAGCAAACTGTTAAATTCACTTAAACCAGTACAAATAAAACAGTTCTTCAGAACGGCTTCATTCACACAAAGTTTTTAATTCCTTATCCGTTTTACAACATGGAAATAAGTGAATAAAATTTAATCTATCTGAAAATGCACCCTCATCACTTACCCTCCTCTGTAGGGGTGACCCATTGGCATGTTMCGTGGACGGCCCGTCCCCCTGCCAACCCGACTGTGGTGGGGTGGGGGAGGACCTCGACGGGGGCTGATATCATCGTAGTCCCGACGGGAATGAGGCGGGGGTCCACGCGCCCCTCTACTGGAGGGCATTCGGTCATACCCACGGTCACCACCGACGTCCCTAGACCTGCTTCCTCGCATAGGAAAGCCCCCCATGGCTCTACGTCCACCCCCTCTCTCCTCAAACATCATGGTGAAGCCACCATAATCGTACGTTTCGTCATAAAAGTTGGGGTCATAGGGCTGTGTGCGACCCTTTATAGGAGCCTGAAATAGAGGACAAAGGTTCTGAGAACTTATAAGAGCAATGTGCATCGATTAGAAAGGCTTCTARTATACAAATAAAAAATAATTAACAATAAAAAACAATCAATGTTTCAAATCAGCCATCTTACTTTAGGGAAACCATTTTCACGTAAAACACTCAGGCAGAAAGACTAAAATAATTAAAGTATCACATACTAAAAAAATATTCAGTAACAGCTTTAATATTTTGTAAAATCTTAATATTTCAAACCAAGAAAGACATAACATGACACTAATAAACAGTTTAAAACCTTACATCAGTAATAAGCTCCAGCATAGTCTTGATACACTCCACCACCCTCTCCATTTTACCACCAACAAGCACCACACGGTCTGTCGACTGGGGACAACACTCCTGAAACAGCTTGATGCTGGTCTTTGTGTTCTGGAGACAAACACACGAAGGCTCACATGAGTAGGCAGAGAGGGAAAAAGAAAGGGAAAAAAAAAACCACACACACACATACACACAACGCAACAAATAATTATGTTTAACACTACAAAAGATTAGTTTAGAAAATGCAAAAACTGAATACTAAAATGGTTCACAAGTGAAAATACTATGTTGCAAATTAATTTAATTGCAGCAGAAGAAATTAAATTGTCCACGTGCACACACCTCACGGAGCTCTTTGATCTTCGCTCCCTTCACCCCGATAATTGAGCCAGCCAGGCTTTGGTGGATCAGCAAACGGAGCTCACAGTCAAAATCCACACCATTGTACTGCTGGTACTTGTGGAGAACATTAAAAACATTCAATCAACAATGTTCTAGCGCACACCCACAGAAATTTTATAAACTTTCCTAAATCATGTAAAAAATAAAAATTACCAAAACAAATGAAATACAGCAAAAAAAAACTATAATTTAACCAATGCAAAAAAACTTTATGCTAAATATTTGACTTGCAAAAAGCAAGAAAATAAATAAGAAAATGCACAGTAATTTCACTTGAAAGCATCTCTTCAACTTGGAGCTCACCTCTTCTAATGTTGGGATAATCTTCAGCAGAATTTCTCCAATAGTATCAATATCTGCACTGATGCTTAGGATTCTTCATTTTTTAAATCCAACAACAAAAGAGAGCGAAGGGAAGAGGGTGGGGTTGGGGTGCAAACCAGGCATCCCATGGAAAAGAAACAGAATTAGAGTTTATTACAGTCCCTTTTTACTTTAAAAAGACAAATAAGCAATGTCTGTCACAAATGCAGATTAGGTAGCATGTAAAGTTTTAAAATTGCAGAACATGACGTTTTAAATAGTCAACTGAACGATTTTATGCTACAGCTGATTAAAAAAAAAAACTGTCGCAGAAATAGTACGAGAAGAAAACCACCTCTATTCAGAGGAAGGCATTAAAAAGAAGAAATTAAAGAAAGATCCAAAAGTAAGAAAATAGCARTTTGTGACCATTGAGGGAGCAAGATGGGGGAGGTGAAGTTTAAGGAAGAAATAAGCACCAAGAGTGCTAGAGAGCTCTAAAATTTTAAAGCATTGCTGGGTGGATGCACACCACAAAGACTGACTTCAACCATAAACAYGGTTCTGAACAGAGCGCAGGAAAATAGACAACAAATAAATACCAACTTGTTTTCTTATAAATTACTACTTTAATTTTCAACCTTAATTTGATCAACAAAAAGTAATTAAATAGTTGTCTGCACCCACCTATTGACAGACATTTACTGATAGACGTTGAGAGATTTGTACACAGAAGCAACATATCAGGCAGATGAGGAAAAAGTGACAGAGCAGATTGTACTGTGGTAAAGTTTGTCTGCCACTGCTGGAGTTCATGTTTATGTCTTGATTTGAGGAGGAATGTTGATAAATACCATTTTTTTAAACTACAACAATTAAGGTGACATTTTAACTTTCAAAAACTCCAGCAGTAAATTAGGCTCAGTTGATGCAAAAGACAGAAAGAAAAACTAATTAAAATTTTAGCATTCCCTTTACGTTTTGACAATGAATGCACTACGTAGGTATGTCATAAGAAGGACGAGGAAAGAATGGGAAGAAGCTAGAAGCYAGTGAGTTTATGAAACTAACAGAAAAACCAAGAACACCAAATTATGCACACTGCGATTCTGAGAAGTGAAAATAAAGGTATACAGGATAGATGCGTATGAACTTACAAAATAAATAAATCAAACTGCATAGACTGTAGCAAAGATTTTAAAAAATAGTAGCAGACTGAAGAATAACCCTAAAAACACCACCTTAAGTTTCAAAGCTGATGTGAGTTCAAACTTGGCATAGAAAGGATAACTACATGGTTTTACAGGATCAAGACAAATTTTAGATATTGTAGGCTCAAGCTAATATACTTTCAACAGGTATGTTTAAATACAGTGACTTGACAGAGGTAGGTTTTATCTTTAATGTTCTTCTTGTTTGACCTGTAGTCAGGTATTCATAGGGAGGAGCTTAGGGACATACCGCTCAGGCCCACTGCTGTCTGGGACTGACACACTGGCATTGTACTGGGCGTGGCATGGACAGGGGCCAGGGCCATTCGAGCACAGATGTCAATCAAGTAAGGCGCCCGTTTAGGGAGAGGGCACGATTATGGGCGGGGCCAACCYGGGTGTCAGGTGGGCGGGCGGGCGCAGAAGGGGCCATCCAGAACATGGGCAACAGAGGAGGATATGGGCAAAAAAGTAAAGAGTAAAAATAATAAACAAGGGAGAGGGAAGAGGAATACATTTTTAATATACAGGCTCTACACTGTTGAAATGTGACTTTAATTTGATTCTCTCAGAGATTGATTTGTCAAAGAGAGAAAAAGAGAAACGGTGACACTGGAAAARGGGTAATGGCATATTAAGAYTARGAAGAGATCAGTGTTGGGGAATAAACCAGAGACAGTGAGAAAGAAGGGAAAAACAAACTGTAGGACTAAAAAAAGAGAAGGCAATGACATTAAATTAATAATTGGCCACTTTTCTGACATTAAAAGGTTAAKTGTGCAAGGTGCCTGTCTGTTTTAAAGTAACAGGAGTATCAGTGTCGCCACAACAGCTGTGTTACAATAAATTATCATAATGAAGAAACAAATGGACACAAAAATTGAACTGCTGTGCCTTTAGCAATTATAGCTGACACAATAACACACTGCTTATATAACAGGATAAAAAAACAGCCCCAAGAAATTTCCCACTAGATCTAATGAGTTGAAGAATAATTATTAAAGCATCAGCTAACAACATAAAAAAAATCCTCAAAATTTGTAAAAAAAAAAAAAAAAAAAAAGTTACTAAGGGGAATTTAATATATATAAAAAAACAAAACCTTCTGCTTTTAAATTGAGGAAGCTGGGTCTGAGAGGTCAGTGAAGAGAAAAATATAGAAGACAAGAAATAAAAKATGTGCTCACATCTGAACGAAGAGCTTTGATGTTTTTGCCACCCTTCCCAATCACAGCTCCTGCATTCTGCAAATAAAAATTAATAAAAATACAAAACATGAATAAATTAAAACCTGCACACAAAAGCAGAAAATGTAAGCAAAGAATCTACAATAAAACAGACATAAAAAATATATATACTACTATAATTAATGAGGAAGGAAAGCYTTATGCCTGTTTGAATATAAGTAATCAAGTACAGCTTTAAATTATTCAAAAGGCTAAAACAAGAAGACAACATAAAATATAGTTATGAAATATTTCAGGAATTGGCAGTATTTTGTGGAACAAAAAAAAGGCAAAATTCTAAAAATACACAATAAGATTAATAATAAATACATATGAAATCTCATAGGAATGCAACATAAAAGAGAAGCCAATTTACTTTGCTCTGCAGGAGAATACGGAGCTCAACCATCTCATCGGAGTTTCTGGAGCGCTTGAATGATTTCTGCTCATCTGCATCCTCAGCGGGGCGCTTACCTGGCACAAGGAGATAAAGAAAACACCTTGATAATTTTGTGCAAAGAGCCTTCGGCAAAAATGGTAATAAGAAAAAAAAAAAAAAAGATAACAGAACGCAACAACATGAACCATAAACAAGTGTTTGTCTCCAAAACTCTGCTCAAATATGATGTTCAAAACATGCATGACTTTCTCAACAAATTTTAAAAGAAATAATGCATAAAACACAAACAATTTAGGTAAAAACAAATATGTTGGACACACAGTACAGCATGCAAAAAAGTACAATAGCTTAAATTAAAGCTTTGGTTTGAAACATTAAGTTCAAAGTCAAACATTTGCAAAAAAGAGACACTTAAAAAAAAAACTAACAAGTTTCGTTTTTTTACCATTTGTCTCCGTGTTGCTGAATGAGGTTTCTTCCTGCTGATCAACTTCTGTCTCCATGGTCTTCTGCTGCAGGGAAGGACGAAGTGTGCACCTTGATCTGGGATGCAGGTGGTCAGAACAGGGAGAGAAAAACCGAAAACTAGCCCCAGTAAGCTGTCGTTGTCTACTGGCATGTTAAAGATGTTAAAAAAAGAAAGAAAAAGAGAAGATGATGATGACTAGAGGTGTATGACTTGAGAGTGGTATGTGGAAGAATCAGTAATGGATTAAGGAAADTGTCAAGACACACGGGACTTACCGGTATTTATTACAAGGACAAGGGCGTGTTGATAGGCGGACCTAAATGAAGAAGGACCAAACAGATATTGGGACCTATCGCAGGGGAGAGAGAAACACTTCTTCAGTGCTGACCACGACAAACGCTGCCAAACAGTCCGAGAACAACAGATTGAGATTACACGCATTTTAATTGACGTTGTTGTTACTTAAATTTAAGCCATTAACTCGTGATTAAAAAGACTAGTTAAGTCTTGTGAACAGCAAATGACAAATGTCTGACAAGCATTGCTAACCAAGTTTATTTGAACAGATTTGACCAGTCTGTCCAGCACTCCGACCATCAGATAAAACACACTGTGTCAACCTCAACACACGACAGWTACTTGACCTGACGCTCATTTGTCCCACAATTTTTTAAAAACAACTTGGATTAGAAAGTCTGTTGAACGACAGCTGACTAATAATCACTCATCAAATCGGACGTAGATTAGCTACTAAGCTAATTTGGCGGCCGTTAGCTGTGGTGAGAGATCGATAGCTAGCAACATGTTAGCAACCTAGCTTCGAGCCATGTCTACATTAGAAAGATTTTGTCAAGTGTCGGCAGGACTAGTCTCAAAAAAATGTTGCGAATGATATAAAGCATTGTGGTAGGTTACCGGCCAATCGTGGTACGCTTAGAAAAATAACTAATTTTACCAGAAGAGATACGAGCTCGAGCTAGCGGCTAACTATTTTCGCCATGTTGTCTCAGTATGGCTGAGCAGAAATGGAAGTAGCCAGGCCAACTAGTTGGATAACGTTTTCACCGAGCAGAAAACAAAGCAACTGGGGCGATTGCTTGACATACGTAGAGTGTATTTCTTTTGTTGTTGTACAGACACACACATTAAGAAATATATGAATAACCGTAGTTCAACAAAGGAGAAAATAATCACCAAAATCACAAACCTGCAGTTAACTACCTCGCTCGCTCGCACGTCCCTTTCCTTCTCTTCCGAATCTAAACTTACGACTCGATTCTCTGTGGTCTCATTGGCTGCATGAAAAGCAAATCAATTACATAGCAAAGACAATTGGCTAGAGTAAATGTCAATCACACAAAATGGGGCGTTTCCAACGTGGTAAGACGCTCCCTGTTTCCGGATAAGGATCGTACTACATTAGTGGCGGTTGTAGTTATTCCATTTGCTTGCCTGAAAGACTAATGTATTGTGTTTTTACAGAAATTGTACAGCTCGGTTGTTGCAGGCTGTAGACCTCATGTTAAATTCAAGAGGTTTCGTTGTTGTGGACACGAAACAACGGTGCCATAGCTCGGCAATTGTTGCTAACTGAGAGCATCTTGTGGTTCAGGTTGGCGCCTTTACTGTCCCAGCACAGTTTATGGACGAGAGGCTTCCTACACGGTAACCTGTTTCTCAACACTTACTTATTTTTGTTCTTACTCACTGTCTTTTTAATTTCTTCTACGGTATACATGTGCGATCCACTAACACATACACTAAATTCATGTTGATGGAAAGCAATATTCATTCATTCAACAGCATCTGCTCAGTTCGTGTACACATATAGATAATAAAAAAATAACACAAGCGTTTTCAAATCTGGAGAAATGGAATATTAGGTTAGTTTTATACTGATAATCGACAATTTTACTGCAGTTTCACAATAGCTACATAGCAGAAATTAAGTATTGTGCTGCCTGTATGTTTTAGCGGATGAAGGCAAGAACAATAACAACAAAGCAGTGGTGACAGACTGAAACACAGAGGAGGAGGATGCCCCAGGAGACTCACTCAGTAGTAAGCGCTGCCCAAGGCTGGCTGCGGTCCACTTGGCATATCCAGGTGCCCTTCGCCTGGCTCCAAGCCTGCATCCAGTGGCTTCAAGGAGAGGCTGGAGGAGCAGGTCATCTGTCCCAGCAGCAGATCAATCAACAGGTTAGTTTAGTGTGTTTTAGCTCAAGTAATCACACTCCTCATCTACGGAATGTTTATATCTGTTTTGAAGCTGTTAACACAAGATTTTTGGGCCAAATTGTTGGCTATAAATCTTAAGTTTAAAACAGTGTTTATTCTGCAAATTACTTAAATCTGAGTGAAATATTCTATGAAATAGTTTTTTTAAACTCTTATTCAGACTCAAAGATAAAGTTGCATCTAATTCAAAACCTTATGCCAATATTTTCCATTGTCACATACTTGAAATTTTCTGTTATGAAGTGTTTTTTCTCCCTGTTGGCTGTAAAAAAATAAATTCCAGCATCACTGTTGTGTTCTACATAAATATGCAGCACAGTGAAAGCTAAACCTTTGTTCAAACAACAAAAGCTCAAGACTAGGCTTATCTGTTTTACCACTGCTGTGATATCACACCGTAGTAGGTAATGATCAGAAAATTTGTGTACGTGAAGAGATAAAGAACCCCCTCCTGGTCTGAAAAACCCTGGTTTTTATTGCAACGTGTTTATAGCAAAGACAAATTTTTAGTGTAAACAGCATGTGTCCATCATGCCGGGTGTCAGCTGTACCAGCTGGTGGTGGCATCATGTGGGGTATGTTTTCTTGCACTGACGCATCTTTCATACGCCACAGTGTACTGAAATATTGCTGCCGAACAGCTGTGTCCTCCCATGGCCAAAGTCTATCTTTCTTGTTTTCAAATAGATACTTGGGGAAGATATTGCTTCAAGTTTTCAGGGGATATATCATCTCCTTATGGTTGCAGGACGACCGTGTTATCAGTTTATTCAAGTGTCACACATGGTCCCCAGATTTCTGTCCTACCAGACTAAAGCATATTTCAAATTGTCGTGGATAAGTGTATTAAATCTGATTATTAGAAGATGAATAACTGGAGCCTTGATGACACAACTGAGTCAGTGTGCCTCAAACTCACTGTGATGATTTTATTTTGTTCTCTTGACTAATTCATGCTTCTCTCTGCATCATTGGTTTTGTTTCAATGTTTATAACTACTGTTGAACTACCAAGCTGTGGTGTTTATAAATGGCGGTTCACGCCATTAAACGAAACAACTGTATCTCAATTTACAACGTGGAGTAGCTTCAGATGACAGTATTTCCCCTGACCTTAGCATTCGTCGATATTTCTGTTTGGTGCAAATTTTCTAGGTTCTGGATCAATGGCTTCTGACAGATCTGAGAGACCTGGACTACCCAATTCTCCCTGAAGGGCTTGCTCAGGCCCAGAAGACCAAACTCACTGGTACCTTTTGTGTCCAGGTAAAATGTCTTGTTTATTTTATTTGAATGCATTCTCATCTGTTCATAATTTTTTATGTTTTGACCAAAAATTAAAGGTAGCAACGAAAAAAACTGCACCTGCATATGACAAAATAACACATTTTTAGATTTGCACAGTATTATTTATTAGTCTTTGTATAGATAGCAGGTGCTCTAGTAGGATTAAGGCTGTTGTGAAAAAGTGTAAGAAAAAAAGCTGGTTGGTTTTATGCTAGCAGCCTAAATGCAGTGCGACCGGGATCCAAATTCATCCTAAATGCGTACAGGAAACGCAGCTGAAGACAAAATATATGAYAAGTATAGCAATTCAAGAAGTTTAACGTGATCAGGCTATAGGCAGATGAATGTTTTGCAGAAGAAAAGACTGAAGACAAATTGAAGCAATAACCAAAAGTCTCTTTTTGTTTTAGGTTGACTCACTGTTGGACATCAGTCAGCCTGCGTATGGACAGCTGCAGAAATGGAGGGGCACAGACTGCACCAACGATGAGGTGTCTGCTGTCACACAGAGGCCCTGGGAGGCCAAATCTACACGTATGCTGCTACTACAGGTCAGAATTTCATCATTTTGAACACGTTTTTTTTCTCTCATTTTGGAGGAATTGGAAACAATTACTTTTTAGATGTTCTGCCACAGGAACAACAGCGTAAATGCAGAGTTATAAAGTAGATAAATTTAGAGTAAAGTTTTGCAGCAAAACAACAAACTGCTTCTCTTTAGTAACTACATACCCATGTATTAAACACACACGCATAGGATATTGTGCAGTTTTGAGAAACACATATAGTGCAGCAATTTATTTGTGAAACGTTTTAAATTTGTAATTTTTAGGCTTCTATTTCCTATATTCAATATATATTTTTTCTCATGTTAGTACATGTTGTTTRTGTAACACAGATAACAGATGGGGTTCAGGGTTTGGAGGCCATGGAGTACCAGTCCATCCCTGCGCTCAGTGCAACACTCAGGTTAAAGATTGAGCTGTACAACTCTTAGCTGCCCTGCGTTGTGTTTATGCTAACAAACTTTGTAGGAGTGTACATATGTGCATTTTCTACAGCTTGGGAATTTTTTTTAAATAAATCTGTTGCCTCTCGCAGGCCCGGTGCAAAGCTGCAGCTACAAGGACAGATGGTTTGCAGACTTGGTGTGGTGCTGTTGGGTCCATCAAATGTCAAGATTTTGGGCGGTGAGGTGGAAGACTTGGTGGAGAGAAACAGTCAGGTAAGCAAAACAAACTAACTAACTAACTAACTAACT